AACGCCAAACGATATGCTAAAAGAACTAAGATATACACTAAAACTAATAATGTAAAGAAATACGGCGTAACAACAGCAGCCCGAACATGAGTCTGTGGTGAGCAGATAGGTATGACTGAACACAGTAGCATAAGATAATCAGCAGCATTTATTAAAATGCATTTAATAACCAGGATGAATATCTGTATCAGGTACTTGAATGACAGAGCCGAGCCTATCTGTGTGAGAATGTGGTATGTTTGTGCAGCTGCTCCTTCTGCTGCAGAGCTCTGCGCCTGTTATCCATGAGAGGATTCCCATTTATTTCTCCCATGATGCTGCAGTGTGATGCTGCAGCGTGCAAACAAAATATCTTCTTGCCGTCTATTTAGACATGCAGGTATACATCAGTCCCACTCTGCTGGCTGGGCTGAAAGTGTGCAGGGGATTTATTAAAAACTGGAAAAAGACAGGGGGTGTGACATTTAGCCGTTTGATACCCTCACTACCAGCAGTTCACGGGGTGATGACAAACTGACTTCAACAGAAGACAGGCTGTAAACTTCCTCCAGAGTCATCTCTATTCAGAGGGAATACACGCACATAAAACAAGTATGGGCTGGCGCAAATTTTCATTCAAAAAGACAAATAAGATGACTGGAAAAATGAGCAGTCGCAGTCGGGAAAGGAGAGGCAACACAGCTGCTCACTGGGGAGTAGTGAAGTAACAGACAGGAGAAATCAATGCAGAGAGTCGATGGACAAACATTAAGTCCACTCTGACATGTGGCAGACAGCCTTCACAATGCTGCATGATTTAAAAAAAAAAAAAAAAGCCTTTACGCAGGGTGCCAAGCAGAAACAGCTGTCTAAGTGGAGATTAAGACAAGAGAACTACCTGCAGTGACAACCAAAAGAGGAAGCACGTAACGGTGAGCAGAGGTGAGTCACGTTGGATTAAACTGGTGATGTTTTCAACAGACAGGTTAGAGTTTAGCACCAGATCTGACCAACATGTTACACAGTAACACAGCAGGCAGTAATAATGGTAATAAACAGTAATAATAGTCTTCAATGCAGGATCACGAGAGTAGAGTATCATCAAACGGTTTGATGGGAGTGACTTAACTTTGGATTTATTGGATCTCAGAGTCAAAGTGTCACTCTACTCGAGTTAAATGCCAGAGAGTACAAGTGGGTCTTTTAATAATGCCTAAACGTTTCCAAACCCCGAGCAGTTCTTACACGAAGAGGTAAATTAGTCCACAAATTAAAAAGCAAAATCTTTTATGCGTTGGAATATCCAAGAGCATCTGGTTGTTTGACTTCAATAATCTAGATAAAGTATGATGTCAAAGACGCTGCAGATAAAGACCATTAAGAGCCTTAAAAACTAACAAAATCTTAAAATGAATCTTGACAAGAAGCTAATGAAGTGAAGAAGGCACACGTGTTTTCTTGTCCTCGTGAAAAGATGAGCAGCAGCAGCAGACGATGAAGTGAGGACTGATTTACGCGCTTAGACAAAAAAAAAATTAGATGAATGTCAATTTAATTCATAAAACCTAGAAGATCTACTAAAGTGTGCGTCTGAATCAAGAGCCAAAGACTTTACTGTTTGAGCGATGCATCTACTGAAAGGTAAACTGTTCCATAAGACTGGACTGGAGCGGAAAGCTCCATCACCTTTATAATTTAATCTGGAACATCTCGGAAAAATGGGCAGGTGGGTGGATGTAAGGACAATTAGTTTAAAATCTTAAAAGTCAACAAACAAACCATCAAATTAATCTGGAAGTTATTGTTTTTTTTTAATCAGCTGAAAGAAGCCAAGATCAGAGTCATGTGTTCATGCTAGTACCTGAGTGCTTCACTGGTCTAAGCAAGAAGTGATTAAAGTAAGAATACATTTTTACAAGTCTAAACCTTTGCAATAAGTCTTGATTTACCAACTAAATTTATGCTTATCTAACTTATACCAGTTCAAAAATGACACACCCTCCCCGTCACAAAAAATGTATTAGTGGTTTTAATGGAAAACTCCTGTCCAACTCAACGGGCAGATAAACTTGAGTATCATCAGCAAACAAACCTTCGGAAAGAGATGTGATGGACCGAAAAGGCAACAAAATGAAGAGCGGAGGATCCAAAAGTCAAGTCAAGGTTCTTTATTGTCATTCTTATCACATGTGGTACATGTGATGGAATGAAATTGTGTACACAGGGTCCCAGTTAAAAAAATGGATCCTTAAGAGATTCTACGAGTCAGAGGGGCTGCAGAAGTACTGGAATGTGAAAACTCCTGTTCGTCAGGTTGCTTTAAACCAAGTCAGAGTTGCGTGTTTGATACCAGCAGCTTACTAAAGTCATGAAAGCAAGATACATACAATAATTTCTGTGTGTGTTACATTATCACTTTGAGATCCAGGAACTTGTGCACTTTGAAGACAGTACAGTAGTCACTCGATACTTGGCGGACTCACTGTTTCGAGTGTTTTCAACGTAAGATTGTACACGACACACGTCAACTTTAATACTACTCATGTGACCGAGACGGTACAGGATAAAAAGTTAATGGGAGCGGACGGGAGAGGGAACCAACCGATAGGACAAAAATTTTTTAAAACACTGCAGACAGACACCGCCATTTTGTAGTTTTCTTTCAATAAGCCTACACTGGAACGCAAGTCAAAAACTACACAGCCCAGGAGCCAACGGTGCTTCCGGCCGCTGCTTTCTTCTAAAATTCAAAGAACAGAAACCGATGTGGTAAAAATAGTTTTGCAACGCAAAGTCAAAAGTAACAATCTATTTATTAAGCTTGATGGCAAAAACCAATGCAGACATGTTTTTAGTATTTTATACCACTTTATAATATTGTAGCCGTTTGTGTTTTGGTTTTTTATATCATTTCTTCCATTTACTTTTCATTTTATATGCTTTTTTATGTCTCCTGCCGTCATCGGTGTTCTTTGTTTAAAACAGGTCTCTCCTGTAAAAGAGTCCTCGAGGCTCAATGAGACTAGCCTGTATAAATAAAGGTTGAATTGAAAAACAGCTCACAGAACTGGCAGGAAAGTCACAAATAATCCTGAAGCCGAACTCATCCTTCCAATTGATGCATCTTCACTGGTGAGTACTCATATACAGTTTTGCAGTACTGTACAGTACATGCGTATGTTGTTAAAATGATGTAGGTTTAAGAGTTTAGAACAGGGATCTGCAACCTTTACAATCAAGAGAGTAACTTTTACACCTTAGTTCACTAAAATAAAAGTGTTCAGAACCGCAACAACCTGCTACAACTGTGATTATCAACTGGTGGCCCGTGGAGACTTTTGTGGCCAGTAGTAGCGTTGACATTATAAAGTTAAAATAGCTCATGATTTTTAACATTTATTGATATTTTTACAAGTTAAAACAAATGAAAAGCCCAAATTCTTGCAAAAACTGTGGGGGCGATAGTTTAAAAAAACTATGAACTATGCAGACCTATGTGATTTTGTTTTTTGAATTGTGGAAAAATTGAGTATAGAAATAAAGCATAAAGTTAAAGTAAGTATGTTTTACTCCTTGTACTTGTTCCAGTATTCAAACATTTGCAAAAGAAATGAGAGGAAAACCGCTAAAACTAGTCCTTTTTTGTTGTTTGTATAACCAATAAAATTCAGTTTTATGTTTTGGTCAAAGCTTGAAAGAGCCGCTGCGGAGGAACCAAAGAGCCGCATGTGGCTCCAGAGCCGCAGGTTGCAGACCCCTGGTTTAGAACATTGCAAGGGTATAATTATTAAAATATAAATAATACTAAAATAAATATAATGTCCCTACTTGGCAGATTTTTACCTATCTGTGTCTGGAATGTAACACCCACGATAAGTGAGGCACAACTGTACATCTCCATTTAACTTTGGCTGTTCCTCACCTCAACAACAAATTCATGTTTAGCTTTTAATTCATCACTTATATTTGCTTTAACACCTGAAATTCCAGTTTGACAACCTAATCATTTATAGGCACTGCATAACCACTTTTTTCCTTTCATGTCTGACTGGCAGCTCAGGGAAACAAAGTCATAATGAAAAAGCAGTTCTATAAAACTTTAGGAGAGTTGTGAGGCGACAGCATGACAGGAAGATGGATGACATATTGTTCATAAACGAAGGCGAGAAAAGAGGGAGTGATGAAGCAAGTACTGGCTCATCTTATCAAGCGATCTGGCTCCGCAGTAGAAAAGCAAACACGTTTTTCACCTTTGGAGGATTATATCCTGTCCTCCTTTCTTCCTAATCTCCTTTCAACCCCTCCGATCACCTCTGCCTTTCCTCCCAGCTGAGGTATGAACCACAGAACCTGATAGATCTCATAGGCTGACTTTTACTCTCACGAATCGATCCAGAGTGACTGCCTGACGACAGAAGCATCCACTCACACTTCACAGTTAACACCTGAACGCCTCTTTTCACAGCGCTACAATCTGACACCTGGATCGATCATCAATAAACGAGACGCTAAACGAAACGTGATCGTTGAGCAAACCTTTAAAAAAATGTAATCTAGCAAAGATGGGTACCGTAGAGCGGCTACAGAGACATGCAGGGGACAGGGGAGGGAGAGAAAACGCCCTGCTTGGCTCCGTCATGTCAGATCTCCTCATGGTTTTTCCACACATCACCACCTTTGTATAAGATGTGTTTTTTTTTTATCTGCTGAGGCAACATCTGGATAACACTACTGATTTCTGCTCGTTTCCCCCTCTCCTTTGTTAAATCTATGTGCTCTGCTCATACCCAAGCATTTGAAGACATTATCATCTTCAATGAGGATTTATCATGATTGCTATTGCTTATTATCAGGGATCTGACAGTAATAATTTGCATATGGTGGGTGAATATAGAGGTAGGCAGAGGTGTGGGGGTCAGGAAAACACAGGATACAGTCAGGAAGCACAGATTTAACACTATAATGGCTGAGTGTGTGCTGCTCTTTAACAACCAAAATGCGTTTCAAAAAGTTTATTTTACCTTTAACTTGAGTTTCATATTCGGCCACGATCTCCTTGTCCTTTCGGAATTTCGCCGGAGACGTCATGGCTGAGTTTTTGGAGACCAAACCGCTTCTTTCCCCTCGCTGTGAGGTCGGTTTTACTCTAAACTGCGCTGTTCAGCAGCCGAGGATGAAATGAAAGGAATGTCACCTAAGAACCGGCTTTCAGACAGAAAGGAAGAGAGAGAAGGGGAAGGGAAGAGAAAGGACGAGCCCAGAGATGAGAGGCTGCAGCTCCTCGGTGTGGATCTGTATTGTCTCTGGGAGTTTGGCGCTGCTGCTGAATCTGCCGCCGTGCCTCAACTCCTCCTCAAAACCGGTTCTGGAGCTAACAAGTTCAGCTGAAAACAAACTCATTCCTTTCACAAAAACCTAAACACTATCAGCTGTTGGGTACCTCTGGCCAAAAGTAGTTTTATCAGCTCAAAAACGCTCCAAAAGTCTGTATCATGGAGCTCCTCCGCCTGTCTAAACTGCACTGCTGCAGCTCGCTTGCCCCTCCTGAAGTGAACAAGAGGAAACCAAGTGGTGATGAAGTGAATACCTGCAGGTCAGCTCTAGAAATGCACACATCGGGCATGCTAACGTTCGTTTACGTACAGAAATGCATATAAATACAATAAATACGGCCTGCTAGCTAGCTAGCATGTTAGCTCGGAATTTTATAAAATATTATTTTGTATTACCTCTTTGACAAGCTCTTTTAATGTTTGTTCGTTCATAAATGTTCAAAACAAAATGATAAAATACTGTAAGTACAATAATTTTAAACATAAAACGTCTCTTAAATACAAGGCTCTTTTTAAAGACGATATTTGAAAGTCATAGTTTAAACTTTTTTTTTTCTTGCCTATTAGCCACGCCTACAAGGAAACTTCCCACAGTCCACAATTATTGGGTCCATATCATTTTTATTCCGGCACACGTGGCGGCGCAGCTTTTTTTTTTTTTCCAACCTTTATTTAGACAGGTAAATCCCATTGAACATCGAGGACTCATTTACAAGAGACCTGATTTCAACAAAGTATGATGACAATAATGGGCAACAGCAATAGACAATTATAAAAAGGCATACAACTGGCTTTTAGCTTTTACACCTTCATTTCAAGTGGTGCATCAAATGTGAGATGCCACTTCAATTACATGATTTCTACAAATTTAAAAGGCTTTATAACCCAGTTCAAGCTATATTGTGTCAAATAATCTGCTGTATATTATCATTTCGATACCATGTGTTCAATAATAATTAATTTAGAGAATACATTTATATTCTTCTATCGCTTTTGTCTGAATCATTTTGGGAAACCGCTCGCAAAACGCCTTATTTCTTCATTCAAGAAACGAACTCCTCCCATGCCGCTTGTTACCACTTCTAGCCGTGTCATGAACCGAGGACACAATAAGGAGTTAACCCAATGAAACAGATTTTGAATGACATTTTTCTGGACCAATAGATATAGGACATTGAAAGTAGGCGTTTCAATTTAAATTTTAACCAATCAAATTAAGAGATTGAAAAACCTTCTACCAATGGCGTTAACCGCTTTTCCACCCGTCCAATCAAAATCAAGTGTAGGGTCTTTTTTAAAAAGTTTCAGGAAGTGTCGTTAAATAGCAGGAAGTTGTAAACAAAGCTGACAGCTATTTGGTTAGCTGTTAATTACATACGGATGGACTAGGCTGCGTAAAATAAGCTACACGGTGTCTTTCTCATTGATAAAGCCGACAAGTTGTAATGTAGGGATCGCTTTCCCGTTGTTTCGTGCATTTGTTCAGTGTATGCTGACGTTAATTGTCGCGTTTTTGCTGGTACGAGGAAAAAAAAAAAAAGGCTAACGTTTAACACAAGAGTCGTCTTCAGCTCAGTGAACAAAATCGTGTATAAAACCGAGCTGTGAGCACCATTATTATCCGTTAATTGTTTGGGGGATTTAATTGACAGACAAATCGAGAGGGTTCGCTCTTTTATTTTTTATTTTTACTAAACAACAATGTCAACATCTAACGCCAATTTTAAGAACAAGTGTGTGACCCAGGTGAACTGCATCTTCTGTGAGAGTCTGCTGTGCACCAGAGGCATGAAGGCAGTGCTGCTAGCAGACACCGAAGTGGAGCTGTTTTCCACGGATATACCTCCAAACAGGTAGCTGCTAATGTTGTTAGCCCTGCTAGCTTTTGTTTACATCTGACTTTAGTTCATAGGCTGGACAAAAATTGTTTTACCAAACCGTATGGAGTCAAAACCATTCATTTGTGGGTAGATAAACATCATTCGTTAAATTGTTTGCTTGAAAAATTTGATGATGGTGTCATGTGCGACTTTTATACTTGTCTTTTTTTGCACCTTCCTTTAAGAACTGTGGACTTTGTGGCCAGCTGCTACTCTACTGAGAGCTGTAGATGCAAACTGAGGGACATTGCATGTCTTAAATGGTGTGTAAACCTCTTCTGTACCTTCCTGGTTTTGCTTAAGGAGGATTATTTGTGAAAACAATAATAATCTGTTTTAGCATAGTAAATGGGCTTATCTTCACATCTGTTATCACTTATGGCTACTCTCTTTGACTGTTGGAGACATTTTTTTTTTAATACCTGTAAAGGTTGCCCAGAAACTAAATTAAAAATTAAGATTTGTTTGTCTTTGTCTTATGTATTCAATTTTATGTCTTTAAGGGTTAGATTAAAATAAATATCCTAAATTTGTAAAGCTAGATCAGTTGAAAATGTGGTAATGGTAGCCGTTTCACTCTTTTTGACGCTTTATTTCAGCGTTCCACGTTTAAAAAATTTGTAATTTCTTTCAGTTTCTAGAAGATCTTTTAGTTCTCCAGAGGGCCCTTTCACTAACCTGTATTGTCAGCCCTTTTGTTTTAGTTTTACATAGTGGGAAAAAATAAACACCTGCTGGATAATAGACAGCCTGTAGTGGAGTTAGCACTTTTCAGAAGTGCCCCCCAGGGAAAGTGCTGACTGTGTTCCCTCTTTGTTCCCCTTCTGTCCTGCTCCCAGCGGTAACGTTGTAGGCTATCATGTGGTAGCTCCCTGTAAACCCTGCCTGCTCTCGTGCAACAACGGCCATTTCTGGATGTTCAACAGTGACGCTGTGTCTACTCTCAATAGACTTGATGCGACAGGTCAGTACACACTGCCCTTTTAGAGGGCTGCATCTCTGCACAGGCGTTTGTTCACTTTTACTAAATGTCCTTGCAGGTCTAAATCTGCTTCTGTGGGGAGATCTTCCAGAGCTGGATGACAGTGAGAATGAAGAATCAGAGAGACTGTCGGAGGAAGAGTGTATTAGGTAAAGGGGGACGACGCAAAAAGATGTGGGGACGAGAAGAGTGTACAAACCTTGTGGGGGGTGAAACAGGAACTTTTGGGTTAACAGAGTAATTTACCACTAAATTACATGAGGCATATAAACTCTGCTGTGAACCTCTGTGAGCTGAAACACCTGAACAACCTGCATTTCTGGCCACACCCCCAAACTGTGATGTCACAGCAGATGTTTTTGCTTCAACAGATGAAGCTCAACACCTGCCGTGACATCATCTTTCCAGGCATGGCTTTGTATTTTAGTGTTAAATTACCCTTTAACATGAGCTCAATGCCTTTCTTCTTCATTTTTTTCTTTTTACTGTTAAAGCACAGATACACAGTTTTCAATAATTTTATGTAATAAAAAAAACGTTTAGCTGAAAGTGACACACGTCCAGGCTTGATCTGGTGTGGGTCTGCTTCCCTAATCTTAAGAACAACAAACAGCTCGTTATGAATCAGTGGAACTTATCTGTGAATGCTGGGCTTGTTCATGTTAAGTTAAATCAGTTGTTTTTTTTTATATAGAACTATTTTTATTTGCAGTTGTAACCTATACACTGAATATGCTGTGACAAGAAAACTCCAATTATAAGGTTGTATTTGCAATGTGGCCTGGTGCTGAATGAAACCTCGAGTGCTTTTCTTAAAAATAGAGTAATGGCACAATTGTTAAATGATTTACGCATTTCTTGCTTTTTAAAGGGCATATTTAATTCAAGGTACTTAACAATATATCAGTAAAAGATGTGGATATACTAATGCTTTTTTTTACACTTGTGATTACAGTGGTACAAGTTTAATATGTCGTTTTTGTACTAATGTATTAAGCATAACAAGCAAGAGGCTGCAGTAGCTGCTGTGTTGATAAAAAGTTCAATGTCAAAGAAAGGGAGAGAAAACTTGATTTAAAATGTATAAGATGTACTCTGATCAGACAGAAACATCCGTGTCGTTTCTGTTGTACCGCTGTTTTTTTTGTTTGTTTTGTTTTTTACGTTTTAGCGTACCTGTAGCACTTGAGAAGGAAAAAGAAAACACGAACCCCAAAGAATTATTACACAGAATAGTATTAATTATAAATTTACCGCCTTATTCAAAACAACAATTACATTTGTGGGTTTGTTCTAGGGATGCACCAATACTACGTTTCAAGTACTTATATTTGAGTACTTGCCAATATTGAGTACTACAAGTACCGGTATTAATAAATGTCAGTACACCATTTGCAATTATTAGAACCTCTAAGTACAAATTAGATCTGTTCCTGCAGGTGATTTGTTTGTAGAAAAATCATATTTTGGACACATTTTTCCTATAAAATATTGGAAATTATTTTTTACCTACACCACCCAAACAAAACTTCACATTTAGCGGTCATCACCGCAGTCATTTTCAGCACAACTGAGGTATAATTTCTACCCCAAAACATTGTTAAAGATTGAAATATAAACGATATTAAGAAAAAATAATAAGCCATCCTCGCAGACCGTGTCAGCAGCTGCTACACATTAAGCAGCTTGTTAAGCAGCTTTTAAAGCTCACCAGTGACCTGTGGGGGGAGACTGATGAGCACATTCAAGTTTGGCCGCATCCAGTTTCCACACCGTCTTGTCGAAGCTCCAAAATTCACGGTTGGAACCCGTGCCTTTGTGTAAAAAGTTTTTTTTTTTGCAAAAAGAAGCTGAGAACTTGTTTCCTGATTGATTGATTTATTTTTATTAAAAGCTCTGTGTGAAAAATGCTATGCTGAAGAGCTCAAACCACATTGTGCGACCGCCAAATTTGAAAACCGAAGAAAGACAGCCCATGTCACGTCAAGGGGCCTCTCATTTTTCTTAGAGACACGCTGCTCGCTCCCTCACTATCCATCCTTCGGTTCAAACAGTCTTATACTGCCATCCGGTGGTCAAAAAAGGCACTTAATGCAAAACAAATTAGCCAACATTTCTTCTTAAATTTGACAATAATTACTAATTATCGTCAAATTTCAAACAATATTATCATTAAGCGCAATAATTTCTGAGACGATTAATCGCCCAGCAAAATTTGTTATGACAGACCTTAATTCTCTTGCCAGGGGGATTGGTTTGGGAATCCGGGATCAGACTAGCTTTTTCTCTGTGCCCTCTTCTGCTCAATTATTCACTTTGAGATGCCTCCACAGCTGCTGCTGCTTCTTCTGGTGCTGTTTTTTGGTGATTGCATTAAAGCAACATTTAATGAGTGTGGATCAGGACAGCCAACTCCAAAATAGATAAATAAAACAATTACTTCCACACAGCTAACATCAATCCTCTACCACCTGACTCGCAACTTTCTGGAACATTTTTTCGAGTATCTGTATCAGACTGATGACCATCGGTGCATCCCTACTCTGTTTCAAGGACATTTTTCAGGGAGCGGAGGATTAGGACAGAGCAGAAAGCTGACTTCAAAGCTCACAAATGTTTTACCTCAGTTACCTGACAAAGTTGTTTCTCAGCTCGTCCTGACGTCTCCGTGACGAATGTTTAAACCCTCCAGTTAGACGCGATGAAACTCTGAAGCTTTTAACAACTTTTTGACGGTACCGTTCTCGAGCTCTTGCTGCTGTTTCGCTGTTAATACGACAATCTTGTCTTAAAGTAACCGCCTCTGAGTGGATGAAGCTGTCAAATACTGTAACGGAAGCAAACATGGAATGTTCCACTTCTATCCTGAAGGCAGAAGACAAAAGAAATATATTAATATATGTATAAATATATATAGCGGTTATTTGGCCCCTGTGTTTATCTATGCTGCAGGAAAACATGTTGAAAAGGAAACAATTACTTATTTTTTCACAACTGACAGTCTGTTATATTTTCAGACCTAATTCTGTCTGTGTGTGTGTGTGTGTGGGGGGGGGGGGGGGTGCAGTACAACATGATTTATTTATTAACTACATAAACCAAATAAATGTAACCTTTTAATTTATTTGTGTGACAAACTTGATTTATAAATGCTTCCATTGTGTTGTGCTACAGTATGTATGTTTTTTTTTTATTTAATATTTCACTCTTTAGTACTTTTGTTTCGTATGTTAAAGGTGTGACGTGTACAGTTTTACCTCATGACTGTATATGATTTGAGTTTCCTCTGGTTAGGACGATTGTGAAATGATAATCACGACGATTTAAACGGTTTGTTTCTGATGTGAGTAACTTTAACACGCCTTGCTGATAATGTATATTTTGGAATTGCACTGAAACTTCTATTGTAGTTTGAAAAAATGTTGTTTTGTTTTTTTTGAATGCTTAAGTTAATAAACTCTGTTTTTCAAAAAAAAAAAATCCTCAAGAAGTTTTGAACATTTTTGTAAAATAATTATTACTATTGATTATTATGCATCATAAAACAAACGGGCGTTGCGTCTTTCCTGATCCTCGGTGATCTGCTTTCTGTTCAGATCATCTCAGCATGAATCTCGAAACGTGCATCATGAAAGCTTTTCCTTCTTCCACGCTGATGTTGGAGGGATGTGTTCGTGCATGCTGCAGATGTTCGGACATGTTAAGGACAACTTGGCAAGAGGGAGAAAACTAAACAGATTCTTGTATCTTGTTTTAGCACAATTTTGTTGCAACTTGACTCGTTCGAAATCGTAGCTATGTAGCGTTAGCTCTTTGTTTAGCTGAGTTTCCCCAAATGAATCATGCTGGTTTATGTTTAAATCTTTTCTGATTAAGTTGTTTAAATATAATGATGTGAGCTCGGAACAATTCTGCAAAAAGGAATCATGGGAACATTTGATCTCGGAAAAATATATTTTTTTGATGATTTGTTTTTGAGTGAACAGGCAAAACATGTTTATAGCAGCGAGGAGGCGTGTGGGTAATGGAAAAAATACACAGTGCCTTGAACAATACTCAATAAAATGTGGGGTTTTTTTCTGCCTGTTGCTGAAGCCAAATGAGAAATAATGTATCTGCTTGTCCAGCAATGTTCAGTCAGGTCATCTGGACGTTTTTTTTTATTTTTTATTTTTTGATAAGATATTTCGTCCTTCATCCAAAGGACTTCTTCAATCTGGGGAGCCACCAAATAAAACTGATTCCCATACAGCATACTCCATAGTGGAAAACAACAATTTGCTGGTGCCAAGATGGCCTCCTGGGCCCGCCTTCTCCCCCGCCAACTCTTCTGAGACTGTCATGCCAAAGTGGATCAAAACACCTAAGTCCATGCTCAATAATCCAGGTATAAAATCCAATAATGTTCTGTCAGGTCATCTGGATTTCTCTTTTGTTTTTTTCTTTGCTGAGACGTTTCGTCCTTCATCCAAAGTACTTCTTCAATTTGAGGATCCACCAAACAAAACATATTCCCACAAACGGCATACTCCATATTGGGGAAAAAACCTGCTGCTGCTAAGATGGCCTCCGGATGACTTTTAAAGAAGTCCTTTAGATGAAGGGTGAAACGTCTCAGCAAAAAAAGAAACCATCCAGATGACCTGTCACCTGACTGAACATTGTTTGGTTTATATCTGGATTATTGAGCATGAACTTCGGCATACCTGCTCGTGTTCGTCTGTTGTGTTAGCAAAATCTCCCATAAACCACTGAACTAATTTGAATGAAATCTTCCAAGTAATCTGTGGATGAACATCTACAACTGACGAACTTTTGGAGACAACCAAATTCAAGATGGCTGCCACAGTCAACTGAACTCGGGGAAACAAAAATGGTTATAACAGAGTCCAATTTTGAGATACAATTTGAGGTGGTAGTAGCTGAGAGTCATCCGCAACATGTAGTTTGAGAGCGAACACATTTAGTGAGATGGTGCAGAACGTGGTCAGACCATAAACGGCTCCAACTCCGTCCCTTCTCATAAAACTGGACAGATTCACAATCCTTCAACGAGTCTTCCTTTAAGGTGAAACTCGGCTGCTCATGGAGCACAACAGATCTGTTGCTCCAACCTGCAGAATGTGTTTGACGGATTGAGTGTAACAAGTACGACGTGATTTGTTTGCATCTTATTTATGGATGAAAAAAGGAATTTATC